TGTATATTACATACTTCTTGTGTTTGTCCATTTCAAATAATACATGCACCTGATTACACCCGAAAGGACATCTTTTATCTTTTTTATCAAACCACCACCAATTAAGTAGAACCGCACAAATCCTAAATTTATTATTTGCAAATAAACTATAAACTTGAAGATTGTGTGTTATGCGCGAGTGACGTCATTGTTTACTATTAATGTAAATATGAATGTGTCGAGTTGCCGAAGCAAGTTCATGATGGGCAAGATGGTCTTTTTTCTAGACAAAAGATTTTCCGTGGAAATCACCTTCATCGATGTTGTGGAGTATGAATAAAATCCAGATATTTTTGTTTTTATACCTTATAGGGGCTGTGGTGGTCGCGCATCGTGTGCACGAATTTCATGTAAATAAACAATGTATTTTACACGCGTTGTATACGTCGCTATGAGTCTCACATCGAACAGGACGCGGCACGACGACTGTCGCACTTTAACCAATACGGGTATTGGAATGATTCGCTTATGTATTTGGCATCATTTTTTTTAAATAGGTATCATACTTCTTTTACACAGAATCGACACATGGTGAAGTATAACAATGAAAACAAACCGAGATTTGTTGATTTACACGAAAACACATCAAATCCGTTTATAAATATAATCAACCACAGACCCTGGGTTATAGAGGGAATGTGAATCAACCATAGAAGGTGTTTCAAATCAATTCGATCAGCGGTTATGCAGACTGGAGAATAGCGACAACACAAAAATTGATTTTATTATTTATTATTATGAAGACTTTCGTTAAGTGTTTCTCGTCAACGACGAAGTGTGATTTTACGGATATGGTCCCTGCACCGAGTGCGGGTAACAGTTGATCTCATTGCGTCGGTGTATGTCGACCTTTGAAGACCGGCCGCCAAATTGTCACGTTTCTGTAAACCGTTTATCAGTGCTTTCAAGACAAATTCGCAGAAGCTGACGTTATCGACATAGTGAACATATTCTCGTGGTCCCGAGAAAATGTTAAGATCGATGCTTTGTAGGTTTCGATCCTAACAAAAACGTCGTGAAATGATTACATGAATGCCATCACAGGATACCGTCACATTCCGTGATTTGAAGTGTCGATCACCTAATCAGAGAAAAAAAGAAAAACACATTCCGAAAGACAGTGGATTGTATTTCGACTCACTAAATACATAGTTGTTAATTTGTTACTTTTGTCTCAGTGCAGTTTGTTTTTTATTGTCTTAGGAGGGTGTGGTTGTATTTCGTATATTTGTATAATGAATGTGCATCTTTGGTCCTTCATTTCTAAAAAAAACAAAAAAACTGATAATTCTAAATTGAACAAATAAATGCTTTGATTGACGATGTTACCGTGATCTCCATCAACGCGACCACTACGAATGAGCATGAAATTAAATAATCCATAATTCAACCACGCATCGCATACTAGTAGTTTTGAAATAGGTGGGTTGGGATTTATTTCCCACTATCGGAAATGGCCGATATAGCACAATCACAAGGAAAAAGGATCAGTGAATTATCATTCATGTTACGTTTATACCTTGTTGTGATATACGGTTATATTAAATCTCACATGGTCCGATCTTACCGACGTTTTATGTCGGTTAGTTTTTCCATTAGTAAGTAAGAATTGTCCCTATTGTCGCCACGGCGACGCGTGTCATGGAACACAGCGATATTAACATTTTGAGCTCAACATAGGGTAAATTTGTCCGCATTTTCTGTAATTTTCACTGAATTCGATCGTAATATTGGATTAAACAGATAAAATATTACATTGCTTTTAGTTTTTGTCACAAATACTCCTCAAAATTTTCTGTAGACAAAGCAGACTACAACTTGGAACTATTTGTGGACGGTGTCTTAAGTAACTTGATTTTGGTCACGGTGTTTAAAGGGTTATGAGCAAAACGCGATACACTAAGTTAGAAACGGCGTTAAGTGCGCAAATGTCGTGTAACATGCGTGTAAATTAAGTTACTGTACTTTTTTATCGGGTTACGAAAATCATTCAATTCTTGATCCAGACACCTTCGTGCAATAGGATTTCGTACATGTGTCAAAAGCATTCCGAGACTATTATTCGTGTATGGCGTGTGCTTTGATCCATCACAATAGACACAACTATTTTTTAATTAATTGATATTCCCAAAAATGATAATTCTATGATAATCTTGATAATTTGTAACTATACGCCACTGTCGATAATTGTATTTACATCTCTCTACTATACTGTAAATCGACAAATTTTTTTACGTGTAAGTTTCAACTTTTGAAAAAAGGGATGACACGAATTTCAAAATTCAAACAATGTAATTATGACCACGCATTGAACTTACGGGATGAAATTGACACAGAGATACATGCCTTCGACGTTAAGTTTTATTCAACATTGTCAGAGAATGTGACATTGATTAGAAAAATGAAATAGACTACTAGAAAATAACAAATAAATTCAGAAACCTTCAGAAGTTGTCATTAATGTGCATTTAGATGATTTTGAATTATAGAAACGTGACGTGTAGTTGCACTTTTAGCTGATATTCGTGTGAAAATCAACATCATTTCATTAATCCGAGCAAACTATGAAGCAACGTCCAATTAAAGTTATTGTTTGCGTTCTAGTATCGAGAAATACACATATCGCAAAAGTCGCGTGTACATGACAAAAAACGACTAGCTTCGATTAATTGTCCAATAAATTGGACGATTCTGCAAATTTATATCACAGATGACCTTTGGAACTCACTGTCACAAAAGTTTACCTAGTTTATACGTATATTGTAACATAAGGGATTGGGAATTATAATTATAATTTTTCGCGGAGGTTAGAAACGGCCGAATCCATATGTACTTGTGATATATTTATCGAATATATACATAAGAGTTTCACATACTAGTATTTTGGCATGATCAACTAAGATTTTTATTTTCTGTTTGTGAATTATATTTTGTGTTGACTTTGTAAGGACTCAAATTCAGACGAACACACAACAATCTCTTTACGTATTCAACGTTGTGTTCAGTGTGGGCTGTGCTGGGCAGGCGGACAGGTTTGCTGAGAGACGCGAGGCGCAGTATCTTCCTCCAAATACAAGAGCTGTTTTTTTCAAACGAAACCAGCGTAAGTTAGAAATGCGCACCGTAAATGCGACAACACTGCTTATATTTGTCGCCTATTTTTTAATCGTCAAACTCGTCGATTACATTTGTTGGCGAGCGAGAAACTTATAAACAAACCGCATAGCCTACGCTGTGTCGTTTCAAATAAACACACTTGTATATTACATTCCCTGAATGAAAATGTCTAAAAGTATTCCGCATCATGAAAAAAAAAAAACGATTGGTTAACCACAGAATGGCAGCACATATACAAAGGATTAATCAGTACATGTGCCAATGTATATATCTAGTACAGGCAGCTGCATGTGATAATGATATTTTTATTTTAATCTTTAATTAACTTGAAATGTTGTTATATGAAATCAGCTAACACCCAGTCAAAAGCTGACATTCAGAAGCATACATACTATACCGGCAGTTATTCTCTATGAAATATCTTAATTATAACATGATAATATGCAAATTGATTCGCGAGATTTGAATGCACATTTTCATTGTGTAAATCGCGACTCTGAGCACCATGAAACAACAAGTTAGAAATTGGCTATATATCTAGAAAATATCCCCCGTATATCCCCAAATCTCGCACCATTTTTAGCTAAACATACAAAATCTGTAAGTTCGAGCCAAAGATCACAATGACACTTCAGTGATAGTTTTAAAACAGTCGTTCTAACACTATCTAACTCAGCATTCGTTTGTAACTTATCATAATAGACACAACAGATACACGGTCAACGAAATAGCGTAGGAGATCGTTACAATCATTA